CAGCCACTAAATTCTGCTAACATACTGCCTGCTGGAAAAAAGAAGAGGCCAGGCACAGCCAGAAGCTATTAATTATTAGTAGAGGCCAAATCAGTTAAAATGTTCGACAGTTACTCCCGGAAATAGCATTTGCTTATGTACAGAAATGTGTTTCATTTTAAAGATGAACTACTTTCCTGCCTACTTCTAGTATAAGGACCTTGTGCATGCCACGGCACTGCAGTTGCTGAGATTTTCTAAAATAAGCCCCATGTAAAAGGCTTTCCATTTCTATTAGAGTATGTAAAGCTAAAAACAAAAGAATATATTGCAGCTTACTGGTCTATGAATGTGATGGCAGCATTCATTTTAATCTTTTAGGGCAAGAACATTTTCAGCAAATAAAGAAAATATCTGTTGATCCTGCCAGAAATGCAGTGTCCTTGCTGTGAAATTACATGATAGCCGAAACATCCTTTTTTGTGTAAACTACTGGTTTTATCAATCCACCGAGATGAACAAAGGTAGACGTGTGAAGTCCAGACCAGGGGCGGACTGACAACACATTGGGCCCCCGGGCAATACAAGATTATGGGGCCCCCCTGTGCAATGCAAAGAATGCATGGCAGACCTCAGACCGGAACCAATACACGTCACACTTCAGACCAGAACCAATACATGGCAATCAGCTGTGTTAAAGCAGCCACAGTAGTGTCTGTTGGACCCGGGAGGCTGGGGACACTGCCACTTTAACACAGCCACATCAACGGTATTAGTTTGGCTCCGGCTCAGGCGAAAACAGCAAAGAGATGGCGCACACAGCTGCCTTTCCTTTAGTGGCGACTCTAGGAACAATATATGGGGGGGCACATAAGATACTACAGTCAAATCTGGGTGGGGCACTAATACTTTTCATTGCATGTTGCAACCGCTGGGAGCAGAGAGCTGAATTGCGGATGGCATCTGCGCCCCGCGGTTGTGACATGTAGTCCAACGCCGACCACAATCCTGAATACCGCAACCGTCGGCACCGATGCCATCCACAATTAAATCAGCTATCGGCGCCCGGTAGGCATGGGCTTACTAGCAACTTTTAGCAAAGGGGCAAGTACAACCCAGAGGCCCATGGTGCAGTAACTTGGCCCCTCTCACGCTCTGCCTCTTCCCCTGCCTGCAACTTTTGCCATCCATGTAACGGTAGTGTGAACGGTCGGGTGATGTGAGGAGTCACTAGTAAGTCCATGAAACGGACGACTGGCTGGGGGATGGTGCTCTCCTCCCACTGGGCTCTCTACCTGGTTCTAGCTTTACTCCGCTCCATGTCTACTACTTAGGCACTCTCACCCACTGTAGACGGCCGCTGGCTGTTCATGCTTCTGGGCAGTGAGCTGTGGGAGGTTAGTGGGAGGCGCCGGACAGTGTCAAAGTCAGTGTTCTATAATTTTTCTCGATC